TTTCGATATTTTCTATCGATAAGAGCATCAAGAAAATATCCCCAGGTGTTCTGACAGTATCAGGAATATTCTTTGGCCCAACGTTCTGTGTGAAAGGTAAGTTAAAGAAAGGTAAAGATTAGTTTGACCAAGTTTCGTCTGATGAAATTTTACTGTTTTCGAACCTACGAGAATCATTCTCATATTTTCCAGAGTTTACATTCAGGTCACAACCTTGTTCATCGCTTATTTCATTTCCATCGACAGATTTATCGTCTGATGGGATTTGATCTCCTTCATATTCTTCTTCAGAATCACTCATTTTTTATTCAAAATTATTTGTTTTCTTTTATTCAACTAATCAATAAGAAAATTCAATACAAAGTTAAAACTAGGATCACACTATTTTGACCGTTAACCTGCCACTCAAACGTGATCTCTAACACGGACAAAATTTCTTGACTCATCGAAATGACTTGCCTCTTTTATTCAACTAATCAAATAGGAATATATGATAAACTGAAAACTATCATCACACTATTGTGACCGTTAGCCTGCAACTGAAACGTGATCTCTAACACGGATAAAATTTCACATACATGAAAGCTTGTTTTTTCTTTCTCAGATATTCTTTTTCTAGTATACTAAAAATCGTCATAAAAAAAATTTTATCCATCCTACTGGGATAATTCGGATGCAATCAAATATCTAGCCGAAAAGAAATACATAATAATAAGTACATTTTATGAAAACTTTACCACCATATTTGAATCACCGTTTTGAGTTTTCTACATCCAAGACTTATTTCATCATCAGCGACCTCAAAAACAAGTGATAACAGCTAAGATAACAGAATTTTGTGAATTTTCCTTACAATCAGGCTGTATTCAGCACCTTCAAAAACCCCTACATAGATACCAGTTCATATAATTGAATTTTTTTAGATTTTACTTAAATCAGGTTGCCATATGGGATCCGCCATTTTAAATTTTCAAAATCTGATACTGGATTTGTAATCAGCGACCTCGAAAACCCATGTGCAGGGAATACCAGCTGAAATAATTGAATTTTGTGAACTTTTCTTGCGACGAAGCCGCCATATTGGATCCGCCATTTTAAATTTGATACTGATCTGATTTAAACAAAATCTGATACTCGATTCATAATCCCCGTATACCAAATATCAAGGAAATTAGTCGTAAAATGAGCTCAAAACCGAATTTCATTAAAAATCTCTCCTTTTTTGTTTGTTAATTGTTTATAAAGAATTATATATGACGCTATTCTGAATTTTGACCTAAGAAACATGTTCCCCAAGCATCCAGTATTCAAACAAAAAAGATTAAAGCGATCTAGAACTCAGATTATTCAAGCTATAAAGAAAAAACTGAGGAAAAATAGGGTGCCAGAATACTGTCACCCGCACCTGAAAGGGTTAATGTCAGAGGCTTTTCTGAGCATCGGAAAAATATTCACGAACATATCTTATCATGACCTTTTGAATGAAAAAGGTTTCATTCGAATAAAAGTTGCAAAACATTGCAAAGATCGACATCGAAGTCGCGTACTTTCGTACGTTTGTCCGCGCGCCATTCAACCTCTCCTCTGTAACTAATGTGTGTAGGTAATGTAGAATATTTTAGTACAAGTACTAGTACAGCAGCTTTGGTCAGAACACTAAGTTTTCAATTACAGATCTAAAACAATTTACAGTACCTTTTGTTGATGATGTCCTCCGTACTTCGAAAAGTTTTGATGAACATTTGTATCACTTGCTTACATTATTGAATTGTTGTTGTAGAGATAATCATACTCTAGAAATTGTATTTGTTGGATATACAATCATTCCAAAAAGTTAAAATTATTCAAAATTGCAAAACTCCAAAAAATTTGCAAATCTTGCAAAGTTTCTTGGGTTTGTTTAAATTGTTTACCAAATTTGAAAAAAAATTATTCTGAAATCTGTAGACTACTTATGAATTTATTCAAAAAAGTAGAAGCTAAGATTTCTAAACATTAGTTAGTATTTAAAAATAATAAAAAACTATTTTTGAAAATAATTATGTTGAAATTTCTAGATCTCAATAAAGCTTATATCTTAACTACTGATGCAAGTTATCACACTATCGTATAACTTCAGTTTTGGCTCAATTAATCGATGAATGAGCGGTGGAACATATCATTTTCATTTTGTCAATCTTGAAAGACTCTGAATGTAACTTTTACGCTGTTGAGAAAGAACTTATGAAAATTGTCTTGTCCTGTTTAAAATTAGATACGTATTTAATATGAGTAAAAGTGATAATCGTAAGATCAAATCACGCCGCTTTGAAATTTTTATCTGCTTGCAAATTCACGAATTTTCGTTTCATTCGATGAAGCTTATTTTTGCATGATTACAATATTACTTATGAACACATCAGCAGGAGGAAAAATAGAGTGGCAAATTTTTTATCACAATTCATAACTGATAATTTCGATGATAACGAAAAAGTAACAAGAATATTAATGTTAATGAAAAATATTTTTTCCAATCATCATTGATTTTATCTTCTGTCTTCTGTCTTTTGATAAATAAAAAATAAAATGATCTACAAAAAACATTAAGATCATGATTAGTACCCCTCTCATTCTTGAAATTCGTGACATTTATGTTTACATAGGAACTCACAAGATCATGAACATGACCCGAGGAGGACTTATATTTATAATATGAAAAAAAGTCAGTATTATGATTCACTGTTGTAAGACCTGCCAAAAAATAATGAAGTTGAAGTAAACGCACGAGAATTTCGAAATAGTATTAGAGAACATTAATTACGTGGAACATCAATGAAAAGTTTGCGGTGATTTTACAATTTCAATTCTTATTCTGAGACAGCAGTTAGATTTTGCAATAGATCCCTGTTTCTTGTGTCTGTGGTAAAGTAAAGATAGAAAAAATCACTGTGTACAGAAAGAAAATCCAAAGAGGACAGATTTTAATCGAGGGGTAAAAAATATCCTCCATGAATCTTTAATAGATCCTTCAAAAATTTTGCTTCCACCCTTTTACATCAAACTTGGTCTCATGAAGCAATTCGTTCTAGCTCTAGACAAGGATGGAGAATGTTTTTAACACTTAGGAGGCAAGTTTCTAGACATAAGTGATAACAAACTAAAAGGTGTTTTCAATGGTCTTCAAATCTACACTTTATTTAAAGATGAAGATTGTCACAAAAATGACCCTTACAGAGTTGCCTGGTTAAGTTTTAAAAAAGTTGCAGAGAATTTTTTGAGAAATCAGAAAAGTAAATATTTTGAAAATTTGGTTCAAGATTTATTAAAAAAACATCAAATAGCTAGAGAGAGTTGGTTAATGAAATAAAAATTCTTTTTTCTATATTCTCATCTTGATTAATTCCCAGAAATCTTTAAAGATTGCACTAAAGAATAAGCTGAATGGTTTATCAAGTATCAAGGAAATGGAAGTCGGTATTAAGAAAAATAAGATATAAGTATGATGGCAGAATTTGTCTGGATGCTTGAAAGGGAAAACAAGCCAAAAACACAAAAGAGGAAGAGAAATCCATTGCATATATCTTTTGAAAACAAAAGAATAGCTTACAAAAGAAGAAAAATGTAAATTCTTACAATTTCTATTATCCTAAAACGTTGTTGTAAACATAATCTTAGAGTGCTGCAATTTGTATGAAAATATTGCTTGGGTGAAGTTCGTTCTATTCTGGATAAGAGTATTACGATCTATTTGCATATCAAGTGTGATTGGAATATTCATGGATTAATTTTTACGATGGATTCGAATTCAGTGACCCTTGAAATATACGATAGTGATTTTTTGGATCAGGGCATATCTTTTTCGTTGATTTAATTTTAAGCTGATTTTGATCTAGATTCAATAGGATTAAGAGAACCTTGGATTCGGATTCAGCTATCCTCGAAACATTAAAATAGTTGCCTAGTTCCATGAAGACATACTTTTGCATTTTTGCAATTGTCATACTAATTCTCAAGTTGACAACATATTGTAACCTTGAAATGACATACGAGATCGTAATAAAAAGAAATATATTATATCTTACCGTAAAATTTTCTGTACTTCCAGAATTTACAGTGAAAATTTAACTTATTACATAATATGCATATTTTACTTTAATTCAGACATGATGAGATCAACTAGACTTTAAATTCAGATTTATCAACCCTCAAAATCATAGAAACACTAGTGACATCGACTTTTCCCTGAATTTAATCTTCCAATGCTCTTGAACTTACGTGCTAGGGTCAAGCTAACTGCGGATTCGGATTCAGGGTGTCGAGATATACGAAAATATATGTATATCTTTTTTGATACACTCTACTTATTTTTTTGTATGCATGTGTTATTTAATTGAATTTAATTCGCTCAATACTTTTTTACAGAATCTTTAATGATTCCTTTAAATATTAAAAGTATTCTTTTAATTGTATAAATTCATAAGTTGATTACTACTGCAATCGTAGTAAGTTACTATTTATTATAATAGCTATCAGATTTCATTGTAGATAATTTATTTTTCATCGTGAATCAATCATGTATCAAGTCATTTCTCTGAGTGTTAGTAATTTTCATTGAAAATAAATAATTTTAATAATTTAAAAATGAATAGAAATTTTGGAGCAAAGATGAGTATTCAAATTATGCTCTGTACTCTTAAGTTTTTTCTATTATATTTGAAATACTTTTGTTATTATTTATAATCTGTTGTGAATTCATATTTTTTTCATATTTTTAGTTGGTTGAATGAAATAATAGTTTGTTTACTTTTATTTGAATTTTCATTTTTCGATTTAAAACTATATGTTAGTAACTAGGTATTTTTGTAACATTTATTATGGAAATTTTTTACCATTTTTTTAAATATACTAACATTAAAATAGCTGAAAATGTTATAGTAATTTTATTATAATCGTGAATATATTTCCATATAAAAATTATTTATTTTACATAAAATTAGCTTTTGTTTTTAGTACCAAAGCAATTTAATTTATGTTTTCAACTTTGAACTTCAGAATATTTTTTCAACAATGATCTGTAAGCATACTTTATACTCGGGTGAGGTGAGTATTATTCTTGAATGATTCTTTATTATCTTTTTGTTTATTCGATACATCTTTAGTATTCGAAGATGGAATTATATTTGACCGCGACGTCATGGTTACTGTTGTTGTTGAAGTCTTACTAATAAGTAGACCAAGTTCGTTTTCTTCATCTTCAGCATCGTTTTTTGAATTATGTGATATGACATGCTTATTCGATTGCATGCGTTCAGAACTATTTTTATTTTTACGCAGAAATACACTATTTTCAATATGTAAAACAGCATTCACATCCTTGCCAGCAGCGCATGTGCAAGCTTTCATAAAACTTTTTTTGAAATTATCACTAAGAAAAGCATAAAGAATTGGATTCATGGCACTATTAGAGTAACTAAGAAAACCGGCTAATAAAAATATAGTAATGCTTACACGGGATTGGCACTGATTAGGTTCAGTATAAATCAAAGCCATCTGAGTCAACCAATAGGGAAACCAGCAGAATACGTATACAGTAATGACAGTGAGCACAAGTCGTGTAACCTTGCGATGAGAACGTTTCTTCTCCTTAGACTTATTCTTTGGACCAACGGTTTGTAATTTTCGAATAACGAGAAAATAAAAAATAAAAATTAAAATTAACGGTATAGCAAAGCCAAGAATGAAACTGTACAAAGTAAATGTCGTCTGACCACCGTGATTATCCGGCCAGTATATGTTACAGCTTATCTGTCCACTTTGAGTTTCCATTGTGTTTGCATAAAGAAAAACAGGAACCATGAATAAAGCGCTTGTAAACCAAGCCGTCATAGAAATTATCTTTGAAATGATAGGTGTCCGTAATTTGGGTGAAGAAATGGGATGACAGACGGCAATATATCGGTCAGCGCTCATTATGAATAAAAATATACTACTAGTAAACTGGTTAATGCTTGTTGTTGTCATGTAGGCTTTGCACATAAATTTACCAAAAGTCCATACTCCCAAGCTCATTGTTGTTACTAGAAAAGGTATACCTATAAGAAAACATTCGTCGGCTATAGCTAGGTTGACTATATAGGTATTAGTTACAGTTTGCATCTTCGAAAAACGCAGAACAACGTAAATGACAAGAGTGTTTCCCAGTAAGCCAACGATACAGATGATCGAATAGAGAATTTGATGTAGTAAGGAGATGATTGGCATATTTGCATCACAATCAGGAGAAATTGTTAGGTTTTCAAGACTTCTGTTATTGGTTACGTCAAGTATTTCTCTGCTTATGTTATTCATTTTAATTTAATGTCTTATCGCTATTGCTAAACTTTTTAGTCATTTATCCTTGGAAAGATACCTAGATTAAATTCACTGAATATAGTTGTTTTTGTTCTCGTACTTATAATATATAGATTACATGGCTGCTATTTTCAACGTCTTGAAATCTTAAGCTTGAATTCCAGTAAATTAAATCAAACTCAATTTTACTTAAATAAATCACAGAGTATTCATAAATTTATCTATCCTTGAAACACTATGATAAATTAGGATGACGTCCATTATTATTTCAATCTAGTGTAATTTGCCTGAAACATAAAAATAATAGCATTAAATCACTAACAAACCGTTCATGAATAAATAATAGTGATATATAAACAATAGTAATATAAAATTATAACATTTGTAAAATAGTGATAAAAGTATATTAATCTCAAAGGAGAAAAGTATAATTAATTATATAAATTTAGTAGAAGTAAATGTATCTATTATATATTGAAATTCCTCTCTCTCTCTCTCTCTTTGCCTGTCTGTGACTCTCTCTCAAAAATTTTCTTTTAAAAAGATATTAAAAAGCTTTAATATTTACATATAAATTTTTTATGTTACGGGTTCTTAATTTTCGACCTTTTCGGTCGAATGATTTTGCAGAGATAATTGTAAAGATGTAAAAAAATAAATATATATCGCAGGATGATTCACTTCGAATCTTCGCAATTTCTGAGAAATGAATTTTCTAAATTTACAAGTAAATAAACATTAATACAAAAATGTTTAAACATGTAAACTTTACAAAATAAGTTATTGATCGTTTTAGTATCGTCAAAAGTTATTAACTAATAAAGATAATTAATATTATATTACAATATTTATAATATAACAATACTAAAATTTTACATAACTTTACAGTTTATCAATTTTAGAAGTAATTTCTAAAAAGAAATACTCAAATTAGTTAATAACATTTGAATTATAATAAATTTTCATATTTGTAACGGTTTTTTCTTTAACCTTATAATGTAATTACTAGATTAATTAATTGAGATTTATAAATTATAAAACTGTCATTATGTACAAAATTAACGCTTTCTTTCTATATACAACTTAATGTTTAAATAAATTATTAATTATTTATTTATTAATAACAGTTATAATTAAACTGTTATTAATGAAACCAATTCTTACTCATGTTTTTAAGATATTCATTATGAATTTGGAGTATTTGCATTTTTCTAATAATTAATATTTATAATGTAATAAACAAATTAACATTGCATATTAAAATTCAATATTATTTAATAATTAAACGCAAATTGTCTTCCTGTTTCCCATCGTATTAGGTAACTTGGCGTGTTTCTATCTAATCCTAATACCCACTTTATGTATTTTAGTTGTAGTCTCTCTATTTCTTCATTTCTTCTCCATACATAATCACGCTTTTCGCCAGTGCGTCGAACGGGTTCATCCTTAGCTCCCAATTTTCTCAAAATAGCTTTTCTCTTAGTCCCTATAGTCTTCCGATTCCCATATTTATGTTTCTTTCCACCTTCTTTATCTGCTTTTTATTTTCGTTATTTCTGCTTATCACATATCCCAAGTAGTTGTACTCTTTGACCATCTCTATCTTCTCACCTTCCCATTCGAATTCTTCTTCCTTCCCCCTTTCTCCTCCTCTCCTGCATTTCATCATCTTTGATTTTCCTACATTTAGATCTAATACCCTTTCTTCCAGGTATCTTTTAAATTTTGTCAGCATCGCTTTCATTCCACTTTCTCTCTTTGACATTATCACTATATCATCTGTATATCCTAATGTCCATATTTTCTTCCTTCCTATCACTACCCGTCCTTCTTGTACCTGTTTGATCTTGACTTTCAGGTCGGCGAAGGCAAGATTAAATAGCGTGGTGCTCAAAGGGCACCCTTGCCTTACGCCTTTGTAAGTCTCAACCTCTCCAATTATTTCTCCTCTAACTTTTACCTTACTCCTTGTTTTCTTATATATTTCTTCTATTCTTTTCCTAATTTTCCCATTTATCCCTTTCTCTTTCATGATTTCCCATATTTCCTTCCTCTTTATCTTGTCAAAAGCGGCCTTCATTTCGACAAAGAATACATATAGTTTTCCTCCTTTTTCCCTTATTTCCTTCCCTATTATTGTTTTTAATATATATATTGCGTCCATTGTTCTGCGTATCGCTTAGCGTTTCTTTTGATCTAGTTCTCTTTACAGGTTTTTCCTCAGTATTTCCGCATATATTTTATATCCCGTGCCCATCAGCGTTATTCCTCTATAGTTTTCTACTTCTTCTTTTCTTCCTTTCTTATATATTGGTACTATTATTCCCTTCCTCCTTTCTTCCGGGTATCCTTCTCCGTTCCATATTCCGTTGAAGCATTTTGTCATATCTTTTAACAAGCCTTCCGTGCCTCCCATCCACGCTTCATTTGCTATACCATCTTCTCCTGTCGCCTTTTTCTTTTTCATTTTTCTTATTACCTCTTTTACTTCTCTTACTTTGATTTCTTCATCTTCCTCTCCTTCGCTGTCTTCGGTTTCTTCACCTTTGCTTTCTTCCTTTTCTTTCTCTCCCAGTTGTCCCTTGAAGTACTTTAACCATTCTCCTTCTCCTATATTTTCATCTAATCCAATTCTGTTCTTCCTATTGCAATTCACTTTATCCCAGAATATTCTTATCGTCTTATCTTTTCTTATTTCTTCTGACGCTCTTTTCCCCTCAGCTTCTTTCGCTTTTCTTATTTCCTCTCTGTATTCTTTCTTTGCTTCTAGGTATTTGTCTCTGTCTCCTTCCCCTTTTCTTATCTTAATTAACTCAGCCGTCACCCTAGCCCTTTTTATTTTACATTCTTTTCTCCATCAACTTTTTTCCATCCTTTTTTTTTTCTTATCTTCATTTTTAAAACTGTGTTCTTCACTCTATTTTTCATCTCTTTCCATTTTTCTGTTCCCTCTATTGCGTCTCTCCATCTTTGATACTCCCTTATACCTTCTTCGCTCCAGTCGTCTATCATTCTTTCTTCCTCTTCTTTTCTTTCTTCCGCTATTTTGTCTCTCAATTCTTTTTCTACTGGTAAGTGGTCTGACTTTACGCTCTCTTTTATTTGAACCCATTTTTTTGCCTCATCACCTTCCTCGTTACCTACTACATAATCTATCGTTGACATTCCTCTCGCTCCTATATATGTTATTTCTCCTTCTTCATCTTCTTTTCTCCCATTCGTTATCACTAAACCCATTTCTCTTTGCCATTTTATCATTTCTTCTCCCTCTGCTTTTAACACTTTATCCTTGGCCTTTATTTCTTCTAGGTTTACTTCTGTTTCCCACTTTCTCTCTTTATTTCCTGTTCTTGTGTTGACGTATCCTCCTATAATTATTGTTTTTCCTTTGTTCTCCTCTATCTCTTCGCTTTGGTAGTCATAGTTTTCCTTTTTCTCCCGTTGCATATTCCCAGTCGTCTTCCTCCATCCCCGCCAGGTTCCAGAATAATATCTTTACTGCTTTTATTCCCTCCCACCCCCTCTCTTTTTTCCCTATTGTTTTTGAAACCCTTTTGCTCTTTTTCCTACCATTTTTACCCTCTTTCTTACTCCACCACCATTCTTCTTCCTCTGACTTTACCCCGTTATGCCACATCTTTACCTCTTTACCTTTACATTTTATTGCTCTAACTTTTCTTCTTATTTCCTCTCTTATCTTACTCTATTTCCACGTCCAGTCCTGATTTATGTAGATCTTTTTCTGTCCCAGCTTCTTTTTCTTCTTCATAATTCCTCCTTTTTGTTCCCATGAAACTCATCTAATTTGTCACATCTTTTTTCCTCTTTCTCTCCGATCATCCCTCCACGCTGTCCCTCCTATTCTTCTCAGATTCACTATCTCTCCTTTCATTTCTAGTTCCTCCCTTAACCAGTCCTCTGCCTCTCTCTTCTTTTCCCATCTTAACCCACTTTCTAAGTCTATCACTATTATATTGTTTATCCTACTTTCTCTATCCATTTTTTGTCTCATATACTAAATTTATTCCTTATTCTATTTATTCCTTATTCTGTTCCTCTTTGCTTCTCGTTTTCTCCTTCTATACTTTCTTTTAGTTTCATGCACTCTTCTTCCAACTAGTTCATCCTCTCTCCCCATTTTTCCTGCAGTTTCTTTTCTCTACGTTCTACTTTTTCCCTTTCTTCTTTCGTCTCTTTTTTTCTTTCTTCTCTCTCTCTTTCTCTCTCTCACTTGTTCTCTCCTAACTTTTCCTATTTCTTTCTCCCATCTTTCTTCTCTTCTTTTCTCCTCTGCCTCCATTCTTTCCATTTTTTCTATTATTTATTTAAACATTTCTGTCCATTCTTTCCTTTCTTCCTCCCATGCCTCTCTTAAATCCCTTATATCTGCCCGCAACTCTTCCATTATATCTTCTGCACCACTACTTTTTCCTACTTCTCTTATCGTGTTGTCCAATCCCTCTTCTCTCTCCTCTTCCATCTCGCTCTCCTCATTTTCACTCTTGCATCTTTTTGCCTCTCTCATTTCTCCTCTAATATTCTCCCTCAGCCTCTCTCCGCTCTCTTTCCCCCTCACTACCTTTATTCTTTTCTTATTTTCCTCCTCTGGGCCTTTTTTATCCATCCTTTCACCTTTATCTCTTAATTCTTCTGTTATCACAAATCTTTCCATTACTATCCCGTACGCCTTAATTCGTCTCTCTAATTTTGCTCGTGATCCCACCTTTATTCCCTGTCTTACCTTTTCTGTCTCCGCCTTTACTTCTTACCGCCCCTCCTCTCTACCTGCCTTTCCTGCTTTCTGATTTTTTCTCTTAACCTCAACTTTTCTTTTTTCTTTATTCCTCTCTCACTGCTTTTTCCTGCTCTTCTCCAGACCTCTCTCTCTCTCTCTACTCCATTTCTCTTCCGCCTCCACGCTCTTTTCACCTATCTCTCTCCTCAAACACTTTTCCTCTCTAACTTTCTCACCAAAACTCGCACTCACAGCTAAAACACGTCCACTCCCTTCCACGAGTCGAAGCCCACTTTTAGTTAAAGTATGTATAAATATACGAAGATGAATAAAGTAAACCTTTTACTAAATGTTAACAAATATCGATAATATGGTAATAAACGCTTTTAAACTTTATTTTAAGCTGCAAATGACGTAAATCGTTAATTTCAAGATCTACGGAAGCGCTATATTCAAAATAATCAAACATTGCAATCTTTGATTGTCGCTGTAGGGCCAGCTAATTATATCGAAAAATATTATGTAGTTGTCAACGATCAGCTGTATGTGAAT